GGCTGGAGAAGTGGGCGGGGGCCGGACCACCCAGGGCCTGGTAGGCCACCAGAAGGCAACACGAAGCCATTAACAACTTTTAAGCAGGAGTCCAGGTGATATGATTGGACCTGTGCTTTGAAAACCTCATGAGGAGACTACGTAGACAGGGACCAACAGAGAGAGGGGCCAAATGGACGCAGGAAGCCAGCTCTGTTCTTACTCAAGTCCAGAGATGACAGTGTCTACACTGGCCTGGAAACACACATTTGGCAATCACCAGCATAAAGCCAGTGGTTGAAGCCACGGGCCTGGATGCAGCTGAAGTCGCCTGTGGAGAGAGTCTGGAAGGATAAAAGGGACTTGGACAATCTCCAGCTCCAGCTTTTGTAGCCCAGGAGAGTAAAATGAGGTAGCCAAGGAGAGAAAGAAGTGACTAGAGAAAAACTGGGAAAGGATGGTGAGATGGAAGGGATCAGAAAGTTTCCAGAGGATGAATTATGTCCAAGGGGTCAGGTGAGATGAAAATGGAAAGGTGTCCTTTGGCGTTACCAACAAGGAGGTCATTGGTGACCTTCTTGAGCACTGAGATGGCAAACCTTAAGCTGGGTGAGATTCCTGTCTTTCATGGCCATTTGCATGGGACAAAGTGCCAAAAGTGGCTAATGTCCATGTCACCAGGATAATATTACATTGTCCAATGCAACCTGGATCAAAGAGCATCGGCTCATTCGCCCAGAAAGTCTCATCTGAACCCATGAAGTACACAGCGTTGTTCTTTTCCAGGGACCATATAGCCCTGTTGACTTTATATATTTGTTTGCTTGTACAACATGTAACACTGGCCAATTCCTCCTCCAGAGTCTGGACTGTAAGCAATTTGCAATCCTGTATGTTGCCTTGATGGAAGCTCCCGACAAGCAGACATATGTGGATTTTGCATATACAGTGCAGACAATGCACTCGGTAAACCGCCTCAGACACGTCCCTGGGGAAGGTGCTGCAGGCTCTGTCACCCCTACAGATGGAAGCTGGCAAGGAACAGACGGGTCCAGATTGGGATCCCTGGGCTACATGCGAGAACAGATTGGAGGGGACCAGAATGGACGTGGAGAGACGGGGAGGAGGGTCCGTGGTTATGAAATGCGCAGACCCTTGCCCAGGGGTGGGAAAAAGGACAGGAGGAAGGAGCACCAAGGGCAGTAACTCAGAGCACACTTCTGACCCTCCAGGCTCCTGTTACATGCTTTTGTTCAGAACTGGAGAACACCCCTTGGCATTTTTTAAAATCAGTCTCCCACTTTCATAGTAACCCAATCGTGTTCCTCCCACCCCCCCTGCAAACATCTTCCTCTTGGCCAATATTCACATAATTGCTACCTGTTCCCAAAACAGGGCCACGCACTTTGCCTCTATTATCTCATCGAATCCTTGCAAGTACCCCTAGCAATAAGCCCTGGTCACATCCTGGTTGTACAGACACAGAAATTGTGGCTCAGAGGGATGGAGTAGCATGGCCTTGGTCACAGAACTGGCAAGTGGTTCAGCCTAGGTGTGAACCCAGGTCTCTCGGATCCCAAAGGTCACAGTAAGATCCAAGAACACTCAGTGAAGACCAAGCGGTCAATCCGCATTGTGGGATTGTTTTCCTTTTGAGAGTTTGGCATGACCCCTTTTTGTTTCTTGTTTATTTTTTAATTTTTTTTTATTCTTCTCCCCAAAGCCCCCCAGTACATAGTTGTAGATTCTAGTTGTACGTCCTTCTGGTTGTGCTGTGTGGGACGGCACCTCAGCATGGCCTGATGAGTGGTGCCATGTCCGCGCCCAGGATCCGAACTGGCGAAACCCTGGGCCGCCAAAGCGGAGTGAGCGAACTTAATCACTTGACCACAGGGCTGGCCCCCCCTTTTTGTTTCTCAATATTTGGGTCCCCTCACCCCTTTTATTCATTCAACAAACCTTCCTGAGGCCAGCCTTTGTGCAGGTGGCAGGGCTGCAGTGGCGGCTCAGATAAGCTTCGTGACCTGGAGGAGCTTACAGGGGCAACAATCCACAATGTGCTAAACAAGGACGGTGGGGTGGGTGGGTGCTGTAGGCATCCTCTGCTTGGGAGAGCAGACGCAGACTTCCCAGGGGCTTCCCATGGGCTGAAATGCCTGAGCTGGATCGTAACAGGAGAAACAGGTCCTGGCCCGGCAGAGATAGGGAGGACAGGCATTCTAGGAAGAGTAAACAGTTGGTGCCAGAGCTTGAGGGCATGACAGAGCTTGGGGGCGTTTGGGAACCGGGCTGCACGATGCTTTGGAGGGAGAGTCTCAGTTAGCTGGGACTAGGGTGTGAAAGGTCCCAGAGGAGAGTGAGGAGCAGGCTATTCATGTTCTTAAGATTTACCGAGCGCTTCACCATGAGCCAGGTTTGTGCTGAGCACTTCACAGACACGTGTTACTATTCACGGACTGTATTATTTCAGCAAAAATACTGAAGTTCAGAGCAAGACTGGATTTTATATTTTATACCACCATGCTTGCTCTGTACCTAAAAAAAGGTACAAAGAGGAAAACAAACAGCTGTGTACCCACCACCCTGGTCAAGAAATAAAACCTCACCAATCTGGGTGAAGCCCCTTTCCGCCACCCTTCACATCTCCCTTTCCACCCCAGAGGTAAACAGCTCGCTGAATAGTGTATTTATCATCCCTCAGAGTTCTTTATACTTTTATCACATTCCTAGCAGTGTATGGTATCATTTAGTTTGGCATGTTTTAAAAATCTGTATGAATGATACTATACAATTTGATCTTCAGCAACTCGCTCCCCACCCCTCCACTTAAGATTCACGAGGAATCTCTAGTCATTCATTTTCACGGCAGTATGGAATTTCATTGACCAATTGACAATTTGTTCACGCGTTCTTCCGCTGATGGACACTGAGCCTGTTTCAGATGCTTTACTAGGATAAGCCCTGTTGCAGTGGGCAAGCAAAACGTTCTCTAGTTTTAACTCAGAAGCCAAGTCTCTGGGTCACTGGGGTGTGAGCATCTTCAACATTTCTGGATGCTGTTAAATTCTTTTCCAGTGCAGTGGTACCCATTTCTCCTCTCACCAGGTGTGCCTGAGAGCTCCATCCACATCTTCGCCAACACTCTCTGCTGTCCTATTTCTTTGCTTCTCGCCAACCTCACAGGTGTGCAATGGTGCTTTCCTGGGGCTCTATGTCGCATTTCCCTGATCAAGAGTGAGACTGAATATCTTTTCATATATTTATTGGCCATTCTGTTTCCCCTTCTTTGAATCGTCTGTTCAGATATTTTGCCTGATTTTTTCTTGCTTCTTTTGAAAACAGATTTGCAGATCTTGTACATTTTGGATATTGTGTTCCAAATATCTTCTTTTGATAAACAGGAGTTTTACACTTTAATTAAATGTGTCGATCTTTATTTCGATGGTTTGTGCTTTTTGGGTCTTTAAGAAATCTTTCCCTATTACAAGGTTTTTGCGTTTAAGTCTTTAATCTGCCTGAAATTGATTTTTTTATGCATGGTGTGAGGTAGGGATTTCATCTCATTTTTTGCCAATATGGACAGCCAGTTGAGTCCATAAAATCACCATTTATAGAAAAGTCCATCCTTTCCCCAGTGACCTGCGGCACCACCTCTGCCGGTTATCAAGTTTCCATACATGTGTGGGCCTATTTTTGCAGCCTCTATGCTAGTCCATTGGCCTATTTATCTATCCTTGGGCTAATATCATATGGTCTAGTTGTACCTTTTTAGGCTCTTAGCACTTCCTCCCTTGAATTAGAAGGGCTAGTAGCTTCCTGAGAGCAGACCCACGTCTTATTCATCTTTGCACCCCTTTCATGACTCATTATGTGAACCTCCATGTCATGCTTTTGTCGGCAAAGCATTTCTCACACTTTGTCTCTTGGGCTCCTAAGACTCCTTTATGCAGAAGAGGAAACTGAGCCACAGAAGTAAGATTACCTGCTAAGGTCACATAGCCGGAAGGGGTTGGTTAGGGATTCTGTAAGATTTCAAAGCCATCTTGGGCATCCATCCCATGTTGCCCGGGCTCTGAAGACCTCCACTTGACCCCTGGGCTCATCTCCTAAGTGATATTCACTTCTTCCTCCCTTCATTCAACCGGCAGCCCCTGAGGAATGTGTGTGTGCCAGCTTTTGTCGCTGCAGGGTCCCAGACCCCATTTCTGGGGACCTCTTCCCAGTGCTGGAGGCCAGCAGGGGGGGAAAGTCGTCTGAGGCTTGGGGTCAGCGGGAGGAAGTCTGGGGGGGGTTTCAGTCATTGAAAGAACCCCAGCCCGGGCGTGCGCGCGGTCCAGGCGCTGCCTTCACAGAGGACGCCGGCTTCCCCCAGGAATTGGAGGCGTCCTCCCGCCCTCCCGCCTCGCCAGGCAGGAATGCGAAGGATCAGCTTTCAGCAGAGCGCAGCTGCCGTTCCGGGGAGCTCCTGGTGCAGGCCCTTCCCGAGCGGCCGAATTAACTGGTTCTGTCTGTCCAACTGGGAGAGCAGCTCTCGCTAAAAATAGCGCCCTGCCAAGCGGGCCCTGCGCCCGCCGGGAGCCGGGGCCTCGACTGTGGGAGTTCGAACCGCGAAAGTGCAAGGAGCCCAGGGAGCTCCGCGCGCCCCGACCCCGGGCCTGGCCCAGGTGCCACCCTCCCAGGCCGAGGCCGCGGGCACGGCGCTGTCCTCACAGGTGCCGCAGAGGGTGGAAGGCCCGCGAGCCGAGGAGCGGCCCAGGCCGTCCGGGATGGGAGCCGACAGCGCGGCCTCCCGCGCGCTCGCCTGGGCCTCGCTGCCCCTGCTGGGGCCTCCCGCCGGCGCGCTCTGCGAGGACACGCTTGGCAGCCGAGGTAAGGCCGGCCGCCCGCGGCCGTACCCCTCGCTCTTCCCAGGCCCTTGCTGGGGCCTCCTTCTGCGTCCCCACCCGAGGTAGGCGGCGGGGGACGAGTGGGTGGTCGCACAGGGCTGGGGGAGCAGAGCCAGGCGCTGTTTGCAAACTCACCTTTAGTTTGAAAAAGTCACCGTCTCGCTGCCGCGTCCCAGAAGCGGTCGCCTCTTTGACCTCAGTCTTCCTATCTGGAAAATGGGACAATAAAATCGTCAAGCTTTAATATTTTGATCCCAAGATAAGTTAGGGAAGCCGCGGCAGTGGATCACAAGCGTGCTGGAGAAGTCTGGCAGAACCCAGATGAGTCCTCGAGAGCCTGTGTTGGTGGGAAGGGCTGGAGGTGCCTTCTCTCTGCCGTCCTCCCCACCCCGCCGGCCTCTCCCAACGCTCTGGACCTGGCATCGGCCCACGTCCCGCGCGGCCAGAGATCCAGGCGCGGCGCACAGCAAAGTTTAAAGGGTCAGCGGACGCACGAAGATCCTTGCGGGAGAGCAGGTGTAGAGTGGGAGAGGGGTGAGCGAAGCAGAGTCGTGGTCCACTCCCCGGTCCCATACCCCAGAGCCCCCGGGCTAAAGCAGGGATTTCTCTCTGAAATCCTGGAGGCCAGGGAAGGCGCGCAGTCCAGCCGCACAGAGGGCCTCCGCGGGCCGGCTGAGACCGCTGGGCCCGGGAAGGGGAGGAGGCATGTGGCCGGGCCTAGATCCCGGGCCAAAGCGGGGACAGGGGGCGTGTGCCGGGAGCTGAGAGGTTCGGCCCTGCCCAGTCCGGCCGGGTGGGGTGGTAATAGTGGGGTCGATTGGCCAAACAGGTGCGCCCCCGCCCCTCGGCTCCCCGCCTCCGGTCGGTCCCGGCCGGGCGGGCGGAGCTGCGGGTGGCGGGGCCTGCGATTGGCGGGGCTGGGCCGGCCGGGTGGCCGGGGGAGCCCGGGAGCCCGAGCGCCGCGGTGCAGGCGGAGGCGCGGAGCCGGCCGGAGCGCGCCCCTGCCCGGCCCCCGCCCGCTTGGCCCGCTCTGCCTGGCTGGCGCTCCGGAAACTTTCCTGCCTCCCCGCGACCCCGCCACCTCGTGACCCTGGCCCGGGGCAGCTCGGGCTCCGGCGCGTTTGGGATGGCAGCGTCCAGCGGCCCGGCTGGCGCGTAGAGGTAAGAACTAGGGCCCCCGAGTGGGTATTAGGGGCCCCGGGGACTTGAAGGGGTCCCGGAGGGATCCGGGGTTCAGAGGATCTGGGGACCCTGATGGGAGGTACGGGGATGCCGGACTGAGGAGGGGGCCTCAACTTTGTTTTACTTACTCCTCTTCTAGCCCACAGCCCCCTCTGCCGCGAGAGTCTTTGCGCGGTGCGTTGACCCTTTGAACTTCCCTGTGCGCCCTGCCCAGATCGCAGGGTCCTTGGGAGAGACCCGCGCGGGGTGTCAGGAGGAAGGCACCCCCGGCTGGGGCCCGCAGCCGGCAGGGCTGGGGGTGGGGGTTTTCTCCAGCCTCCAGTGGTCTCCCAAGATCTCAGACCCTCCTCAGCCCATCCTCGGGGTTGGCGATTGGGCAGCCCCTCCCCTCTGCCCGGAGCCAGGCACCCCGGGGCACCCACGTTTTGAGTGTTGTTTTGTTCAACCCGTAGCCACTCCTCAATTTTCAGGGGGGGCGGGGTCGTTGAAGTGTAGCCGCTTTTCGGTTTCCTGGACTGCCTGGAACCCCACCCTCCATGAAAACACCTTGAGCTAAGCCGAGTGGGACTAGAGACCCAAGACATCTAGGTTCCCATTTCCAGCCTGGTGGGAATGATGGTGGGGTTTTCTGGTTTCTGGAAGGTCTGTTCTTTTGAGCTGTCAGGCTTGAGTCATATGGAAATTGCACCCGTCTCTTCCTGCCCCCTCCTGCTATTTAGAGGGGAAGTTAATTTTTATTTGAATTTAATTTTGATTAAGGGTAGATAAGTAGATAGCTTGTCACGGATGAGGATCATCTTTAACATTATTTCCCCTCAGTGTCAAAGCCAGATTCATTTCTGGGTTTTCTTGGCCTAAGACAGTACACCTGAGGGTTAAAAACCAAACCAAACACCAGCTCTGGAGCCCAGAGAACCTGGGTTCAAACCCCAGCCCCACGGCTCACTAGCTGTGTGTCCCTTGGGCAGGTTTCTTAATCTCTCTGAGCTCAAAGGTCCCACTCCGGGGGGGCATAGTCAGGCTTTTACAAGGTAAGGTGTGGAAGGCACCTCGCTCATAGGATGACAGCCTTGGGCTGCCGGGCTGCATCCTGGAGCTTAGGCCCTCTGCTGCCTGAGGGGCCCAGTCCCTTTGTGCCTCAGTTTCCCCTCCTAGCCAAAGTTGGTGTGGACCAGCCCCACTTAAACGGCTCTTTCGAGAAAAGTGCACAGATCCACATACCTCCGAGGCATATGATTTCAGTGGGTTTGTAGGCCTCAGATTTAAGGTAGCCCCGGCCACCCCCCTCCCTGTCCTGAACTACTTGGAAGGTGCCTGTAAGGCTTCCTGTCTTCGGCTGACCTCTCCCCATTCCTTTGGATGCTTGGAGGTAACGGTTGTAAATATTAGGGAAGTTGCAAATGCACTAATTAACCAGCATAATAAGGAGGGGGCTGACCTGCAAAACGTGGCTCAAAGTCACCTTCAAGACCGTCCAGACTACCCTCTGCTCATTCTTCCTTCCCTGGCGCTGTATCTCCACCCGGTGAACATCTAGTCTTTTTTCCTGGGATCCTCTAGTGACAGTCAGCCCACTAGGCAGCTGGTTTCATGACTGGGCAACTCCATTCTGTTAAAAAATTCTTCCCGTTTGGAGCAGAAATCTGTGTCCCTGTTACTTCTACCCGCTGGTTCTAGTGCAGCCCTTCAGGCTTCTCTTACTGGCTCAATTATTCACTGTGGTCCCCTGGTGCCTGGCATTCTGTTTCTTCCTTTAGGCATTCGACACACTGAGCTGAGCTTGGCAATGATCACGGCACATTTATTGAGTGTTTATTATATGCCAGGTCCTGGGCTGAGGGCTTTACACATACTATTTCCTTGCATCCTGAAGACAGCCCCACGCCGTTGATTCTTTTCTTACCCTCGTTTTGTATTTGAAGAAACAGGTTTAAAGAGGTTTAAGAGATTTACCCAAGGTCATACAACCTGTAAGGAGCTGGCTGCATCCCAAACCCAGCATCTGCCTTTAGAACCCAGGCTTCCAATTGTTACTTTTGTTCTGTGCTGGCGTGCATGCCCATGAGTGTGTGTGTGTGTGTGTGTGTGTATGCCTGGGTCTGTGGTGTGTGCTGGCAATGCTTTTTTCACAGTCACGTGAGGCACCTGTTGAAATGCAGATTCCTCATCTCCGCTCCAGGCCTGGGAATCTGCACTTTGTAAACCTCGCCAGGCCGTTCTCAGGTATATCACTGTCTGAGACCCACAGCCCCAAGGGATGCTTAGGGAGAGAATGTGGAGTATGAGTTCCAAGAGATCTGAATTCAAGGCTTGGCTTCACTCTCTTGAGCTGGTTACTTTTGCCTTCTGGGGCTTTCTCCCAATTGTCAAACGGGCATGGTGTTACACCCACTGGTGGGGTGTTTGCTGTCTGTGGATGGGCTGTGGAAGTCTCCGGGGTGGATGTCAGGTGTTATGGTCAGGCCCTCAGAGGACAGAGCTGCCCTGGTGAGGCCTCTCCTGCCACAAGTGGATGTGATGGCAGCCAGCTCGTGGCTCCCAGGAGGCCCTGCTCACCTCCCTCCCCCTCCCCCAGGCCTGTGGCCTCTGCTTTCTATAAGGATTGGTGCACCTTGGATGAGGCCCTTGTGCTCAGATTTCTCAGCTGGGCTGGTAGGGACTCAGGAGAAGTGGGCAGGGCCCCCCAACAGACCTCTTCCTCCTCCGTGGCCCCATGAAGGCCTCTGACCTCCCAGACAGGAGGGGCTGTGCCTGAACTTCTCAGGGAGGGGAGAGGGATGGGCCTGCTACATTTGCATCTGTGTTTTAAATCCAGTAGAAATTCCTTCCATTCCGTGGAGGGCTGCTCTGCTGGTCTGTGGGCAGCTCTGGGGAAAAGTCTGACTGGAGGCTGGCTGGGTCCAGCTGGCTGCCAGGTGGGGTGAGGAGTAAAGCTGCCACCTGCATGGACCTCAGCAGCATCCTGACCTCCCAGCTCTGCTGCGCACAGAGCGGAGCTGCGCCTTCATCCCGTGGGTCCTGCTGAAAGCACAGTGTTGTTAAACACCCATATTATAGAAGAGATCACTGGAGTCCAGGAAGCTGCAGTGACATGTCCAAAGCTCTGATGTCTGTGTGCATGGGGACCGAGGTAGAGTCAGAACTTGAACCCAGGTCCCCTGACAATAAGCACAGGCTTTTTTTGCACTGTATCCCACAGCTCATTGATTTTCTGCTCCACCTGGATGTGGCTTTGGTGCCAGAGCCCTCCTTTGCCTGGAAGCTTAAAAGTTTGGGCTCTGACTTGGCCACTCTTGGGCTGTGTGATCCTGAGCAGGGCTGGCCGTCTCTTAAAACTTTAGCTTCCTTGTCTGTAAACGGGGCATGTTAGATCTCTGCGATTCCTTCCAATCTTGGCATTCACCGGTTAGCCTTTTTTCTGCATTTCTGGGGAGCGGGCTGGAGCGAGTTGTTGGGTTGGGCGGGAGGGCAGAGAGCTGCACTGGGGCTTGTTAGGAGGCTAGTCAGAAAGGCTTCTGTGGGCTCAGAGTCCAGGGGGCTCAGGGGGCTGGCGGTGGGGGCGGGGCCGCAGGAGGAAGCCCAGGGCCCGTGAGGTTGCTTACCTCGGACTTAAATAGTATTTTGCATCCCTAACACTGCAGGAGTGTGATGGTGGGAGGGACTAGGGTTGTGGATGGGAGTCGAGTGGAGTGTGGGGCTCTGAGACCAACCCAGCTGAGCCCCCTCTCACCCAGGATAGCCTTGGCTGAGAGACCGGGAACATGTGTAATAGTCTCTTTTCTCCTGCCTGAGCCACCACATGTCTCTCCCCTGGGCGTCCCCAGCCTTCCTTGAGTCTGGTCCCTCCCAACTGGTGTCTGTGCCTGGGTGGCTGTAACCTCTCACTGGAGCAGAGCAGCTGGCTAAGGGAATGTGCTTGCCTGCTCTCTGTGCCCAGGACGGGTCCCCAGCAGCCTGGCTTCCTAAAGCAGGCCCTTGTTAACCGCAGCCTCCGCCAGTCACCTGCCCTTAGCTTCGCCCTCCATCCTCCTTTTTCCCTCCCCGGGGATGGCTCCCTGTTACCCACTCACAGGATCAAACCCACGCTCCCTGGCCCGGCAGTCAAGGCCCCATGCCTGCTCCAACTTTCCTCCCTGCCTCTTCTCCCTCTGCTCTTCAGGCTGCCTGTTTCCTCGTCTCTGCCTGTGACTCCTGGACGCCCTTCTCTCTCGGCCACTGCTTCATTGCCCAGATTCTTCCTGCCCCTCTGGGTCTGGCACAAATGTCACTCCACTTGTTCGCATCACTCTGCTGAGGGTGAGCCGTCACCCTGTGCGGTCCTGGCTTGTAGCTCCTATCGACAGGCTTGCCTGCTGTACACTTTGTCATCGGCTTGCCTGTCCTCTGAGATGGGCTCTGAACTTCATGAGGGCAGGGCCCTGGCCTTCCCTCTCAACTCTGTGCCCACGGAGTGGGGTGAGGCCTGACAAAGGCCTCCTTTGGTCTAGTAAATGCTCATAAAGCCTTGTAGAGTTGGACTGGCTTGTAATTGGGCTTGATTTCTCTGCTTCTGGCTCAGAGCATATTGCCTGCGCCCTGTGCCCTGCTTCCCAATGCAAACAGGTGGGGTCCTCTCAGTGTGTGCTCTGGGCTAGGCTGGCTCCAACCGATGGACAGACAGATGCCTTTGGTTTGT